CCGGAGGAGCCCGCCCAGTCCCCGCCCCCAGGCGGAGCCCGCCCAGTCCCCGCCCCCGAGGCGGAGCCTGGCCCGGCACCACCCTCTGCCCCGCCCCCGAGGCGGAACCTGCCCCCGGCACCACCCATTTACCTCGCGCACGCCACGCCCTGAGGCGGAGCCTGCGCTCACTGCCCCGCTCTCGCGGTATGGAAGCGAAGCACCTGCGCGGGGATCGGGTCGCATTTATGGGATTCTCTGGTCTCACGAGCTTGAACTAGACGCGCTCCGCCGCTCAGAACCGTTCACGGAAAGTGAAAAGGTCCGACTCCGCGGCTCATTTAATAGCTTTGGGTTATGAAAGGGGGACCAAAAACAATAGGGTTCTGAATCAAAGTTGAAAACCACTTTTCCGAACTAATTGTATTAGTGATGCTAGCAAATATTTGAGGCAGTTACCTTGTCAAACGTTAGGTTGGTAAATACGTCTACAAAAACTCAAAATCTCTGAAAACTCCAATGTCTTAGTTCTTGTGAGCTACTGGGTAATAAATTATGAAAACAATCCCTAATGCTGTCCCCCCACCCCAAAGTGAATAACCTACACCTGGAGTCGGGAACCAGGATCAGAAAAACAAATTCTTAACTCCATGCACGCAAACTTTCACGCCCCACAGCAAAAAAATGAAGTTAAATCAGCAAAGTATCTTCTTAAAATGTGTATTTTCATAATTATAATGCTTACATTTTAAAGTCTTAATACAATAGTTTTAGTCTAACAATATATTACAGAATGTGAAAAATGACTTCCGTATGTAGTAAACCATGAAAACAGAATACCTGCAGTGTCAGTCACCAACTTGTCACCTTTTCCAGCCACAGAATGCCAGCGAATTGTATTGAGGCTTTCTGGCCTTACAGCCTGACATATAGGATTAGTGCATTTAGAGAAAGGGGGCATTTTCATGAAAATCAAAGTTTAAAATCATTTGAATTTAAAGATCACAGTTGACAAGTAAAACATTTAGATCAGCCTGAATGTTTAATAAAAGAACGCTTTTATTAAAAGTAGTATAACTTCAGTTTATATACATACCTGGAGCCTTTATTTTATAACCCAATCTTAAACACTAAAGAAAGAGTGGGAGAAGCCTGTATTTTCTCTACTAGTTCTTTGTGGGATCTCTATCCTCGCCCACCAAGAATTACTAACACGGGACTCAGAGCAGTGCAGCCTGCGCTGACGACACACTGTTGGCAGAAGTCATTTTCAGATTAAATACAATAATTTCCACCTTATAATCAGATGTTATAATTTTTCCAATCATAGGAGACCCCATGAAATTCACCAAAATTATAACTTTTCCATTTGCTAGTATTTACATGTTCCACACTATTTGTAAAATGGCTGCATGTTGTTTTTTAGATACACATTTGATATCTGGTTTCACAATTATATAACTGCTGCTACATCTTTATTAACAAAACCAGCTTGTCTCAAACACATAAGCCTTATTTTAAACACAATGAAAACTCAATTACAGCCTTTTAGTTAAAAAAAAAAGTGACTTGAAGTTTTAGGTGACATTCTTCTTTTGTATAAAAGATAAAAACAAAAAAACACACTCATGTAACAAATCGTAAAAGATCTTTTGGGCAATTAGAAGAAAAAAAAAAACCTGTGATAAATTTGATCTCATTCAATTTCCAGATAACAAGAAACAACCATAAACATTTTAGATCTCCCCTTCATTTTTTTTCTCTCTATATGTAATTAGAGCATTTCGTCCTGGGGTTAGAACCCAGACACAGAAATCAAACAAATCAGGTGATCATTTAATCACACTCCCCCTCCCAGAAGCAGAGGGAAAGTGACATTATGCATGGAGGGAGGGTTTGTTCCCTTGGCTCGAGGCTCACACACCCACGAGAGCTTTTTCTGACCCGATCGAATCTCAAAGATCTCTCCAGTCACAGGGCTTGGCAGATCTGAAGGGCAATCATTAATTTTTACAATAAAACAAATTTATTTTAGAAACCCTAAACTATCGTTATATTCCGAAGTTCTAATTTGCCTAACTAGTTGACTAAGTTTATTAGTTTTAAACTGCTCATAAGGAAGATAGATTTCTGGAACGTTTAATTAAACACACAAATATTTTTCTTCACACACTTCTCCAATTCTTATAAATGGAAAAGATGAAGGGGGAAATTGCACCGCCTTTACTTGCTGGATGAGCAGACGGACAACAGAGAGTGATGACTGCTCTGCTGTGTAACCACCGATCTGACCTTCTATCCCCATCCCACTGGCCTCTGGAGAGCAGGCAACAAGTGGGGCCAGCAGCAGCTAGCTGCAGGATGCTTCTTCTCTAAGGCTTCACACATTTGAGGTTACCCGTGAGTCTCCGCCCTCACTTGCATTAATCTGGTCAAGTTAAATTTCAACCACATTTTCCCAGTGAATTAAGAGTTCTCTATTTCATATGTACAAAAAGACATCGCTTTGGAGAGCTGGAAAAGGTTTAATACATACAACGCTTATTTACAAGCTGGGACCTTCACACCAATAAAAACAAACACATTTATTTTGTCCTTGATTTTTGGTGCAACTTATACATAAACATTACATCAGTTAGTTTGTATTTCTTCAAATGATAAATCAACCATATGTACAATTAAATTTACAACCGAAAGCAAATTAATCCATTGGTACTGTATGACTACGATTTAGTGGCCCTGTAGAGACTATTCCAAGACTTTTGTCCCTTCTACAACCTGACTAGAAATACACTGAGAGTAACTCTCTCGTCTTCAAATGGAACCTCTTAATTTTTAAGATTTAAGGTGCAAAAAAAAAAAATATTGATCATATAGTTACAATTACATGGAAAGACTTTAAGTTTAAAGGTGAGAGAAAACATATTAACCCCCACACATATGATAATTAAAATAAATATATTTAATTTCAAGTGCATATGTTATTAATCAACACTGAGGGAAAAAAGGTTCCAGAAACATTTATTCCCAAACTGCTTCAATGCCAACCTGTTCCTTACGCCCTGCTCTAGTCTTCTCAAAGTACCTTTAAAATGGCTCCAACGAAAGAGTGCTCCAGGTCGCCTAGCCTGACATTCCAAGGCACAGAAGGGGCTGTGTTCCCTCCCAACCCACCCCTCGGCCCCGCCCACCTGCCCTAAAAGGGTGTTATTCTAGAAAAGCGCAATGAGATGAGCTAGAGTAAAGGCCTGTTACCCCTTAGGAGTCTTACAAAGCCACCTGGTCCAGAAACTGGGTGCTGTGTGACCAGAAAGGCACACACAGGTCACTAACAAGACTGCGAGGCCAGCTGCATCTCCCTGAGGCGCCGGACCTCTGTCAGGAGCCAGCAGCTTGACTGCAAGACTGCCCGGGTGCCAGGCCCCCGGCGACCGTCCGTGGGCACGGAGTGAGGGGTAAGGACGTGGGCTCTGGCCAGCCCTGAGGGACACCAGGGTGGGGACAGGGAGATGAGGAAACAACGTGACGTGACACCACAGATGACAGAAACGTAACGCTGGGACTCCACTGGCCAGCTGCACACTGAGACTCTGGTGCCTCCGCGGCCAGGCGGAGTCCCCAAGTCTGCCCAGAGCTAGAATGTTACAGTGCAGAACCGTCCAGTCTAGTCGGAATCCCTCCAAGTGTGCTCACAGCGGGCCGGGGCGTGTCGGCCTGAGGCGTGGTCATGTGACACTGACTTCGAGGACGTGGTCGTCCTTACTGGGGATGACCAGGACCTGCGTGCCAGCGCCGGAGTTGAAGACCTGGCCGGGCGGCAGCGCCTGCAGGCGGGGCATGGGCAAGCCCTGGTGCTCACTGCTGCTGGCCGAGTGCCCGCTGCCCCTGCTCCTGCTGCCACCGCCGTCCAGCTGCTCGTCCCCATGCTTGTCCACTGACAGGCTGTCGTTTTCTATCCAGCTATCTGCAAAACGCATATGAAGTGAGATAGAGGCCGCACGGCCACAAGCCCTACCCACCCCGAGCCGACCCTCGGTGCAGCAGCATGTTCGCCGAGCAGGTGGCGAGGGCCTGTCACCGCTGGCACCGGACGCGCTGTGAATCCGCAGGCCTGCTCCCTACAAGGTGGGCTGGCCGCCTCGCCGGTCCTTACCAGCATCTGGCTGTGCGGAGTGCGCAGAGTGATGCGGGAGGTACTTGAACAGCCTGATGTCGGGAAGGGGCAGGTGACCCGCAAACAGGGGCACCACCTCCATGTGGACTCTGTGAGTGGCCTGAGCGGCCACCGGCATGCAGATGACTCCGGAACTTTTCCCGCACACCGCCCAGTTGCTACTGTTGTCGACCACTGAAACACAGAGGGAGACGCGGTTTTACGCCAGGGCAGGGCGCGCGACATCATCGCAACACAAACCACGGTCGTCTCACGGCCACGTAGAATCCGAAG